TCTTCTTTGCCACTTTCTATTATTTATTCTATGTCAGCCCTCCAAGGTTCAGTCCTTGCCACTATTCTGTGCTACTCTGTAAGGACTCCTCCAACCTGTGTTAATAATCAGCTCTATGCTGATGGCTCCCACATTTTTACCTCTCCTGTTTCCTCAGGTCTTTGACTGAAGTCCCATTATCACCTGTGACTCAACAATGCCTACAACACAGTAATACATCTTCTCTGCCCAACTATACACATAAATCTTTAATGGTATTCCTGATTATTTTCCCAACTGTCTTATTTCTGACAATGGGGTAACACTTCTGCCATCCTCCACACTCAAAATACTCATCTTTTAAGTCCTATCCTAAATTATCCAATGTCTCCAAACTCATATTAATTTCTTCAAGACACTTCATACATTCATTCCTTTTTTACCATTTCTACCATCATCTCACACAGGTTGCAACAATTCATCTTGTATGTAGTTGTAATTTTCCAAAAATGTTTCTTTGATGACTTCTGCATTAGACTTTTCCCCCAAATCCCTCTGATTCAAACTCCTCATAAGGCCACACTTTTTCTCCGATTACCTCCTGGATTTAAATCCAAAGTAATCCAAGATTCTCCTTGTTGCCATTTCTCCCTCACACTTCTCCAGACTCATGACGCTAATGTCCTGTTCCTAATGTCACTCCATCCTACAGGACTTCTTTCTCTAAATTCTTTTTTTGTTTGTTTGAATTCAGGGCTTCGCATTTGAGCCACACCTCCAGTCCATTTTGCTCTGGTTATTTTGGAGATGGAGTCTCTCAAACTTTCTGCCTGGACTGATCTTGAAACTCAATCCTCCTGATCTCAGCCTCTCAAGTAGCAGGATTACAGGTGTGAGCCACTGGCACCTCTAAATTCTTGAAACTTGGGAGGGGGCTAGAGGAAGAAACCCTAATTTACAGTGTTTGCCAATGACCCTCATCATAGGAAATTTCAAGACACCAATGCAACATCACCAGCTGAAGTGAGGAGATATGCACAATGTCAGCAGGAACCAGCCCAAGAACACGGCAGCACTTACAATCTGTTCTCTAATGTAGGACTTAAAACATACTATTTTTATACAGGCTCTCTATGTTCATCATATAGGTTGATTTATCCATTGCCCTAGGAAGTGGAGTGGTTCATTCATTTCAGAGCTTTCACAGTGTACAGGGCAAACAGTATGTGCTCAAGAATAACCTGTTGGCAAGACTCAGAGGAGTGAGAAGCAAAATCAAAGATGAGAGTGATAAAAACGGGTGTGTCATATTTAGGCTCGGTTAGCGAACAAACAAAAAGACCAATGAAGGAGCAGAATGTGGTGCCCTACCTTTGTATCTTTGTACCTGTGTGACCTTTAACAAGTCAATTCCTTTATTAGGTCTTAAGTTTCCTCATCTTTAAAAATGAAGGGACTAAACCACATAACTTCTGAGATACTTTTTGACTTTAATGCTCTGAGGTATGGTTAAACTGACAAGGAGCAGCCCACAGTCTCCTGCATTGACAATATTAATGAAAACAGGGCTGGCAGCATGGCTCAACTGGTAGAGGGCCTGCCTAGCAAGCACAAAGCCCAGAGTTCAACCTGCCAGTACCGCCAACAATTATAATAATAATGAAAATAATATTTCATTTAATAAAATCTGAAAGTCAATGGAGTTTAGGGCAACAAAACTTTTCTAAAGCTGTGAAGAAACATGCTGGCAAGGCCACTCCATTCTTTTGACTGAATAATCACATCCAAAGATACAGTGTCCTTAAAGCTGTATCTACTTTATTCTACTTTGAGGAGAAAGAAGGTATGAACACTCAACATATCTGCTAACTCTAAGATATTTCCTAGTGTCCCTCCAAAAAAAAAAAAGTGTGTATTATGCGAGTGTGCATTGCCTATCTACTATGAACTAGAGTGCTGACGATTTAGTAAAAATAAAGCTTTGTCTGTACATAACCCACAGGAGTGTCAGTCAGTTGGCATTTGATTTCTAATTATCTGTAGCAGTGCTTTTTAACTGAAAAGAACGTCTCAGAGTAACAGGTGCAAGCTATGGACCCTCTCTCTTAGATACCTGGCATGGTGACTCACACCTGTAATCCTAGCTACTCTAGAGGCAGAGTCCTGGCAAAAAGTTTGTGAGACCACCCCCCCCATCTCAACCAATAAAAGCTGGGCATGGTGGTGTGTGTCTGATCTGTCATCCCAATTATCAGGGATGACATAAATTTGAGGATCATGGTTCAGGCCAGTTCAGACATGAATGCAAAACTCTATTTGAAAAATAACTAGAGGGGAAGAGGGGGGAGAAATGACCCAAACATTGTATGCACATATGAGTAAAAGAAAAAATAAAAAAGAAAGAAAAAGAACTAGAGCAAAAAGGGCTGGAGGCATGGCTCAAGTGGAGGAGTGCCTGCCCAGCAAGTTGAAAGCCCTGAGTACAAACCTCAGTACTGCCAAAAAAAAAAAAGCTCATAAAAATCTGAATATAATTTCAGAGGTTTACATCTCCACATCTGACCTATATCTACAACTACATCTACAAAACAATAAACAAATTCAAACTCATAAAAACCTACATTCTTCTCTAACTGAAGCAATTAAAAGTACAGGTCCAGAAGGACAGTGGTGGCTCATGCCTGTAATCCTAGCTACCTGGGAGGCTGAAACCAGGAGGATGGCGGTTTGAGGCCAGCCCAGGCAAATAGTTCTTGAGATTCCATCTCCAAAATAACCAGAACAAAAATGGGCTGAAGGTGTGGCTCAACTGGTAGAATCTCTGCTTTGCCAGGAGGAAGCCCTAAGTTCAAACCTCAGTCCCACCAAAAAAAAAAAAAAAAAAAAGTATAGGTTCACTGCATAAATGGTTGGGTATCTGAAGTTTCATTCAGCTAGAGTACCTTATTCCAAATAATAGTCTGGATAAATAAAGTTATGCATAGATTATCTATTTGATCTACCATTCTCTGGGTTAAGATTGCTTATTAAGTCAGTCCTCTTTCTTGAAAATGCTTGCATATGAACATTTACTTCCATTTCCCAAATAAATCTACATTTCTTCACTCTTCAATTTCACATTAATGAGACCCAATCGGGAATGAAACATATCCCAATGATCAGCTTCAACAACAGCAAAGAGCACAAATCCCAGAAGTAGAAAGTACTGCCTTTTCTGGCAAAGTGACATGGACAAGTCATTTAACCCTCTGACTTAGGTTTCTTTATTTATAAGAAGGAGAGGGATACAACTTCCTTAAGAAGGCTACTGTGAGAAATTAATCAAATAAAATAAAATATACAAAAGTGCTTAGCTATAAAACAGGCAAAAGTAACACAAATCACTTGAAGTTGCTCACAAAACACTAGACATTCACAGATCATTTGGAAGAAGTTGCTCATATAAGTCCTTAGTGTGCTATTAAATTTTTTCTATCTGAAATAAATAAGCTGTCAAAATTACAAAGAATTTGTAATTAACCAAGAGCCCAACAGTGAGGTTCTAAAACATCAGAAATCTGCAAAGAGGCTTTGGGATTTCCATGATGCATAAGTATACTCTCAAGGCAACAGGAGTAACAACTCCCTCAGTCTAAATTTTAAACGTGCTCACAAGTCCCTTTTGTTTTTTAACAGACTAATGATTCCTTCACTTGCCCTGTTGAAAAGCTTTGTATGTAACAGGATATTCTCAAAAGATTTTAGGTGAATTAATGAAAACTGGCAAAAATCAAATGAAAACAGTAACTATCAGTGCTTCTCTTTTTCTTATTTAGCCGAAGGAGGGTGTCTGCCTTTAAAGTAAGTAATTAATACTCTCCAGTTGAGACATGTTTTCCAGTCTAAGCTGAGCATGTAAAACATAGCTTTTTTTATTTTTGGCTATCAAAATGATGAAATTATTAGATATTCACTATGTTTTGCAGCGATTCATTTACATCTACAGTGCATATCTGCATTATTTCAATACCCAAGTCTGGACTATTTTTCCTTTAAAAACTAAACCACAGCCCGGCGCCAGTGGCTCACGTCTCTAATCCTAGCTACTCAGGAGGCAGAGATCAGAAGGATGAGGTTCAGGGTTGTATTGTGGTACGGAAGCTTGAACTCAGGGCTCACGCTTGCTTGCTAGGCAGGTGTTCTACCACTTGAGCCACTCTGCTAGCCCACTACCCGGCTTTTTAATAATTTGATACCCATAGAACAAAAGATTGTTTTCTCTCATCAAAGCTCATAAAGGTGACCAAAAGAATAAATTGCCCTGGCACCTACAAAAGTCCAGATGAAAGCACTCTGGTTTTTCAACCCGTACTATGCCAAGGCGTCCCCAAAAAGGAGAATTAAGCTCTCACTATCTATCCATCTCACAAATATCTGCTTCGAAAACAAGCTACACACCCTGCATTTACATAACACCTTCTTCCAAGAAATCTGAAGCACTGAATTGTAGAATTGTTTAAAAGTAACGTATCCCCCGTTTTTTAGAAAAAAATTACTGGTACTCTGTGAGACTTTAAAACCCTTGCCTAATTGGACAATTAAATGGTGGGAAGCCCCACACCCAGGGGCTTCTGAGAGCAGGGATAGATTCTTGAGATCGGGGGCAGACTATTATGTAACGGATGGGGAAAGTTGGGGTGGAAAGCAGAATGAAGTTACAGAGATAGGAGGTGCATTAAGGACTGTGTTTTGGGGGATCTGGGGATGGAGTGGAGGGAAGTGAGGCAGCAAGGACCCTTTAAGCTGATGGGAGCTGGGTGGATGGACAGCCAGGTGAGAAGGTACCGGCCATCTGTAAGCAGCTGCTCACTCAACCCTTATTCCCTCCCACGGCTGCCACTAAGGGAGTAGGGCTCCGAATCCCTTGAGGGAAGTGCGTAGAGAGCCCCGATCAACTACTGGGTCTGGCAGACCGCAGGATTTCCCCACCCCCAGCGGCTCGGCGGGCTGCCCTCCCTCCCCCAGCCAGCCCTGCGTCTCACCCGCCACCAGGCGCAGGCCGCGGAAGCTGCCCATGGCCGCCTACTCCAACGATCTCTGCCTATTTCCTGGTCGCGGGGCAGCGGTGGCGCTGGTGCGCTCAATGTCACCCCGCGCCGGTGTAGGAAGGACTAGGGCTGCACCGACAGGCGGAGCGTGGGGGCGGGGCCAGCACGGAGTGCTCGACGCGCGGGGCATGGGGGACGTGCGCGACGCGCCGAAGACGCGGGCTACGTGCCCGGCCCCGCCCCCCGGGCGCGGCGTCCAAAGCAGTGCTTTGGGCGTGCTTGGATGGAGTAGGGTATCGAGAGGATTTGCCGTAATACAGAAGAAAAATTAGAAAAAGCGTGTGACTTTTATGAACTGCAAACTCCCTAAATAGACGACCTAGAAAAACCAGTAACTCCACATACTGTTCTTCCGATGTTTCCAAGGAATTTATGCTTTTATCAAAAACACACACTCGGGTCCCAGTGCCCAGGAGACCCGTGTTTTGTTGGGTTTTGGAGCATCTTTCAAGCCAATCTTAGCAACTAAGATGTTTTCCATTTAATAACTTTTTTTTAAAGAACGTTTAATCATTCTCACCACTTACCCACTCACCGCCAGAAATGCTTTTTTGGCTTTTGACGCTTAGTAGGTCTCAAAATCCTCAATGAACAAGGTCCCCTCCAGACAGAGGGTGGACGCTAGAGTGGGAAAGATCAGAAAAGGCTCACTTTCCTAGATTTCGAACGACTGGGTTGGTATGGCCAGGAGACTGTTTCCCTTTTTTAAGATAACAGTGGATGGTCCGCGCATCTGAGTCAGTGCAGGGAGTCACATTAAAGGGATTGAAGTGAAAAGCAAGACAGTAAGGTGATAGGGTTCAAGTGGACGTGTGCTGGGAAAAAGACGATCCCTGCTTTCAGCGCTCTTGCTCGGATTTTTTTTTTTTTTTGTCAGGCGGCGCCACGGACACCTCTGCTCCTCGGTGATTGGCCTGCAGCGGGGTCCTCGAGTTTGTCCAATATGGCGGCGCCCAGTGGCAGTGTGAATTGTGAGGAGTTCGCCGAGTTCCAGGTGATGGGGTTTTCCTCATGTGGCAAGCTTGTCCCTCCTTTTGTCCCCAAACCCTGCTCCCTGCTCTGACATGGGAGAGAGTGTAGACCTGTTGTGGAAAAAGTAGGCGTCTCAAGTTTCTTTTTTTGATCGATTGGAGGTCATGGGGGGCGCGGGCTTGGCCTTGGGGAGCATACAGCTCTGAGGTGAGGTGGTTGGAGGGGTCTTAGCTCTCCCTGCCCTGCGCAGGCCTTGACTTGGAAACTACGGGTCTTCCTACGGTGGCAAAGCCGAACTGTGAATCTGAGCAGGAATGGTAACACTCTTGAAGCAGTTCTCTGAACTCGGTTCTCAGCCTCTACCATCATTCTACTTTTAAGTTGAGCTTTCGTGGGAGGAAATAAAGTGAAAAGGCTTGTTTACTTAACACAAGAAAATTAAATATTTATACAGTTTCCCATTTTGGTGAGCTAGAATGTTTGGAAGCTTGGAGGGAGGATTAATTCTGATTCTAGTTCGGAAGTGCTATTGCCTTCCTAGTCCTTACAAAAAAATGTAACAAAAAAGTATTTTTTTAAGATATTCTAACATGGGCTTATTCACCCATGAATTCATGAACTACGATCTGGATTTTGACCAAATTGCTATGGAAGCTATTTGTTCCAGTGCAGGCATAAGTGTCCTGCTGTCTACAAAGTTGAGTTAACCATGTCCTTAAAAATGTATTTTAGCTAAAGATAATGAAAAAGCCATTTCACGTGTCATCGACCTATCGTATAAGCGTCATAACTTTGAATGGTTTGTAGGCAGTGGTATTCTTGAAGACATCCTCAATAGACTGGCTTATTTGATAAACAGCATTTGCCCAAAGTTTCTGTGGGGTCTTTCCGCCATTATTTGTACCCTCTTCATCACTTCAGCTGCTCCTCACACTAGATCAGCTTAACAGCTGCTGAACTCATATATGCGCTAACCCGCCCATTTATGTCATTACTTGAGTTCTTGAGCTCATATAATGGAGTAGTGGTGACCTTAAGGTCTATAGGAAAGAGCACTGATTAGGAAATTAGACGTTCTCAGGTCTTCTACTGCTTCTGTCATTAACAACCTTGTAATCTTAAACTAATCACTTAACTCCTTTGGGAATTAACTTGAATTTGTAAAATAAGGCTGTGTTAGTAAGATTTAAAATTGCTTCCATTCCTATAATTATTTGAATCTCTAAAACCAAATCATAGGATCTCTTTGAGGTGATAAAATATCAAACAGTGCTTGAAGATTTTTCTTTCAGATGGCCAGATAAGATGAAAAGAGTACAAAATCTATACGGTGTTTCCTAACCATCCCATTTCTATAAAGAGGATCATGAAATGAGTCTCATTAGTGAAACCTGGGGGAAGTTTTTAGATAGTTTCTCTGGAACTTTTCCAAATATTTGGGATTACAGGACACTGCACTCAGCTTATATTTTTTGTTTTGAAGATTAGGTATGGGCTGGCAGAGCGGTTCAAGTGGTAGAGTGCCTGCCTACCAAGCATGAGGCCCTGAGTTCAAACCCCAGAACCACAAAAAAAAAAAAAAAAAGACATTAGGTGCCCTTTTTCAGGATTATGAAAATGTTTAAATACCATGGAGATATTGAAAGACTTGTACAATGAATGCTCATGTACACAATAAAGTTTACAATCAATGATTTGCTCAATTTCTCTGACCACATATCTATTTACCCATCTAAATCCATCCATCAATTTATGTATTTTTGGTGCACCTGAAAGTACATTACAAACATCAGTATACTAAACTTATTTATTTTTATTTATTTTATTGTTGGTGCACTTGAAAGTACAAACATCAGTGTACTGTACTTCTAAATATGTCACATGCATATAATTAATTGTAGTTCGGTATTTGCTTACTGTTTTGCATAAAACAAAGAGTACAAATCTTTTAAGAGTCCTGGTCATAGAGTTTGACATTGGCATACATCTGTAATGCAAACTTCCATCAACATAAAGACTGATTCCATCACCTCCAAAAGTTTTACTCATGCCCCTTCCTAGTTGGTCCCTACTTCTGTCTCTCTCAAATACTGTTCTTAGGTTTTCACCATACATTAGTTGCATATTTTAAGTTTAAGTTACTTTGTTTTGGTTTTTTGGTGATACTCGGGATTGGACTCAGGGCCTTACATTTGCTAGTCAGGTGCTCTTATCATTTGAACCCCAAGTTTAAGAGAGATTTTAAAATGTTTTAAACTTTTGTAATTTATTTTTGTAAAAATTAGACCTAGTGCTTCTAGAAAAATACCTTTTTTCAAAGTGAAATAGAATCCAAAAAAGAATGTTTAAAACTGAGTGCCTAGAATTCCATGTTAACATTTATCCAACAATTTATTGCACAGCCTGGGTAGCTTAACAGTAGAAATTTAGTTTGTCACACTTCTTGAGGCTAGAAGTTCAAGATCAAGATGCTGTCATGATTGTGATGAGGCCTCTCTTCTTGGTTTACAGATAGCCATCTTCTTACTATGCCCTTATATGACCTCTTTTCTATGCCTACACACAAATGGAGAGGAATCTCTGGTCTCTCTTCCTCATATAAGGACACCAATTCTTTCTTAATGATATACCTTGTAACCTCCATTTTCTCTACTGTTTTTTAAGAGGTGGGATCTGGCCAGGTACAGTGGTACATACCTGTAATCCTAGCTACTCAGGACATGGAGATTGGAGAGAATCATAGTTTGAGGCCAGTTCTAGCAAAAATTTAACAAGCCCCTATCTCAGTCAATATGCTAGGTGTGGTGGCATGTGCCTGTCATCCTAGCTATGCAGGAGGCCAGAGGTATGAGGATCATGGTGTGAGGCTGGCCCCACACAACAATGTAATACCCTATCTGAAAAATAAGTAGAACACAAAAGGGCTGGAGGCCCTGCCTAGCAAGCACAAGGCCCTGAGTTTAAACCCCAGTAACGAAGTAGAATCTTGCCATATTTCTCACGCTGGCCCAAAACTCCTTTCTCAAGCAATGCTCTCAACCTCTCCAGTATCTGGAACTAGGTGCATGCCATCATGCCTGACTGGCCTCCATTTAACCTTCATTACTTCCCTAAAGGTGCTTGCTGTCTGTATGTAGTAGCCTGTATTAACATGTGGCTCTTCGGCACTTTAAATATGCTAGTGCAGCTGAGGAACTAAATTTTTTGTGTTGAATTTTAATCTGAATAACCTTACTTGCTAGTGTCTCCCATATTGAAAGCCAGCTTTAGAACGTATCTTGATAATTCATTAGTACACAAAGAAAAATTACGTATTTGACATTCCGTATTTGTAAGTTCCATTGATAAGACTGCAAAAATTGATGACTCATTCCTACTTAGTGCAAATAAATTCCCATTGCTGTATAAGGACCTTAATAGGATGTCCAAATTGTTTTATTGAAGGAATATGGCTGTATCGATTAAAGTGTAGCCAGTGTTCAAGCTCAAAAACTGGTTAAAGTTCAGAGTCAATAAAAACTCTAGGAAATGGTAGGCTGTGTCATCTTTCACCTGGGTTGCTATATTAGTCCCCTAACTGATCTTTTCACATCTGCTCTTGTTCTTCTCCAATCCACTTTCCATACTTTAACCTAAGCAAACATTTAAGGACACAGATCTGATTGTGTAAGTTCACTGTACTTGAAACATTTCATTCATTCCCTAGGACTCAGGAAATACCAAAAGCCATAACATAACCTACAATGGTGGGTCTCATCTCACCATGTTTTGTCTTACTCTTTTGTTCTTAAGCCATATTAACTTTTCAGCCCATTCAGCATTCTGTTTAAATGGCTCAAAGTCAAACTTTGTAATTCTTCTTAGATTCAGTATGACTATTAACTCCTTTAAATCTTCTTGTGGTTTCTGTGATATCAGAAGTGGTATTTTAGGTGCTAGGATTCCTTCTTGATCATTTGCACTCTTCACTCCCTATATTCTCCACTAGTGATTTCTTCTAGCATCATGGCTTGATGTAACATCAATTCATTTCATATAATTCTAGCCTGGTCAATGTCAGGCAGGTTTTTTTTT